TCTCACCAAACAGATGGAAACCCAACAGGGGAATGGAATAACAGAGCTGATGAGCTATCGAGGCTCAGCCCCCTAAAAAAGGAAATAATTACTGGGGATTGAGATCTACTATTAGAATGGTTGCATGTAAAAAGGCAACACACAGGTGTAAAAGATTTGTACAAAGAAGCTCACACCCAGGATTGGCCAGTTACCAGGGAAATGTGTAAAACATGCATATCAGCCTGTGAGCAATGTCACAGGTGACTAGAGAGACATCCTTTAGAAGATGACCCTCTGCATTTAAGAAGGGGTAAAGGCTTATGGGACGCATGGCAGGTAGACTATATCGGCCCCTTTAAGAAGTCAGGAGATAAACACTTTTTGCTAGTAGGAGTAGAAATTGTATCTGGGTTGGTTCAAGCTGAGGCTTTTAAAAGAGCTATAGGTGACAATAGAGTTAAAGCTTTGCAGGGGTGGTTTGGAACTTTCCCAAAGCTGTAGGAAATTCAATCTGACAACAGGTCACACTTCACTGCTGGAGTTGTACAGGATTGGGCAAAAGGTGAAGGAATTAAGTGGACTTTCCACACACCTTACTACCCGCAAGCTAACAAAATCATGGAAAGGACTAATGGTCTTTTTAAAGGACTCCTAAAACCGCAGGAGAGAATTTGGGACAGTCAGTTATGGGAAGCTGTTAAAGGGGTGAACAGTAGATGGGGAGTGAATGGATGTCCCAAAATCACTGCCTTTTACCTGAATCCTCCATGCATCATTCCCTCACTGCAGGGACCTGACGATCCAAAAAATCCATCACATTACCCTGGACAAATCTGTTCTAGTGTTCCCACTGTAGGGAAAGTACCACTAGTGCTGAAAACCCCTCTGAATAAATATGTATGAGCTCCTTGTCCAAACATGAATTTGAAACCAGAGGGAAGCTCCTGGGAGATCAGGGGTGCCTTGAGAGCTAAAATTACTCTTGAGGGTTTTTTTATGGGACATCATGCTTGTCAATGCAGTGTAACTTTGAGGAATTATAGGTTTGGGATAAGAGCAACACTGAGTGTAGACATAAACAGCTCACAAAATCCTTGTTGCTTGTACCTTGATATATGTTACTGTAATATATAAAAATGCTATATATAAAATAATAATATATTACTATTAAATAATGTTACTGTATTGCTGGGGCAAGTGTTAAAAGAATTAAAACACAGTTAGCAAAGTTTTAGTAGTAATAATTAGTGGGAATCCCTACCAAAAATGTGTTTGAGATTCTTTTCCCCTGTGCTATTTGGTGCTTTCCTGGAGGTCTGGAAGCAATTGTGGGGGCAGCTGCTGAGCAGCAGTGAATCACACACCAAATCCTGAGGCCTCTTTCTGCAGGGGAACCACAGAAAGCTTTTGGTAATTGTGCACATTTAGGAATATGAAACACAAAAACTTCAAGGAAACAGAGGCTGAATTCCTGAGCCAACAAGGAGTTTTGGGGATTGTTGTGGACGAAGCAGCTCATAACGAATTCTCAGTGGGTTGGGTGGAAGGTTGCCTGTGGAGCTTGATGGTATAAAAGGCAAATACTTTTTGCCTTTTCTAAGGGTGGATATACAGAAATACACATGCACATAAACGTGTTTTCGTGATGCAGGGTTGATGAAATTGAATGTATCCAGTTCTGGTGCCAAGTTTTCATTTTATTTATTAAAAAATCCCCAAAAAACACTCAACCAAGCAAAGGAGAGAATATCAAAAGAACAGTCTAAAGGCTAAGGGAAATACTTTGATGTCTGGAAGTATCTACTGCGTATTTATTGTAGTAAATAAACACCTAGATGGAGGGAAAAGGTTGGAGAATAAGAATCCAAGAGTGGAGACCAGCTCTTCCAGCAGAGGAAGGAGACCTATGTGTGGTGGAAACTTCCCCCAGAAAAGGGGAAGGAAAAAAAAATACACCTTACTGCAGAAAAATAATTTTAAGGAAACAAAGCAGGTTCTCTGTTCCATTGTGTCTTTTAGGAGGAAGCCAAAAGCTGAGTACAGGTGGAATGGTGAGAAATCCAGCAGCCTTGGGTGAGAGCACTGAGCTGTGGCACTGCTGAGAGGTCACAGCACGTCCTGGTCCTTCCCTCTCATCTCTGTGAGCTGGAAAAGGTCAGTCATTTCTTGGCTTTCTCAGTGGTGTTGCCAGGGAGTGCTTCACACACCCCCACACCCTGCAGGCTCATCAGATCCTCAGCAAATCCATGTCCCCAGGCACAGCCCCATGGCCAGGCAGGTTCTGAGTCTCCAGGTGTATTTGTGCTCAGGTGTAGCAACACTAGTGAGAGGAGGGGAATTCTGATCATGTTTCCTGTTGCCCAGGAGCAGGAGAGGACCCTGCTGTAACATCATCAGGTGCATTGCAGAGTTCTTTGTTCCAGCTCCTCACACAGAAAAAACACTGCTCTCATTCCTCACCAATCTCCAAGTTGGCTAATAAGGAACAAATTCTATGTATTCCAAGAATAAGGCAATCTTTCTTTGCAGTGGTCTTAATAAAGTCTAGGCAGCAATAAACCCTGGCAATCAGAAGTGATTTTCCCAGTGCCCCAGTTAGGGATAGGGAATAGGGAATGCTGCTCAATTACCTGGATTCCAAGGAGCAGCCAGCATACATGCTGCAGTCAGAAAGGGACTGGGGGAGAGGTCTTTATCTTCAAGGCAGTGAAGATCCACATGTTGACTCCAAAGAGACTGCCCTGGGCGGAGCATCTCCCCATGGGATGATGGAATTTGATCAGCCCTGCAGGGACACTCCCTGGCCATGGACAGCAGAGATCTGCTGGAGGGAGGATTGGCTGTGGGAGAGATAAAGAAAACTGCCCCATGAACAGAGGATAAGTGCCCCAGCTCTGACAGACGGCAATAAAATACACCCATTTCCAACCTAAGACCTTATAGTTATGTGGCAAAGAGATGGGTAGAGTAAATGGAGAGGAATTTCCTTGTGGGTAGCTTTGAATGTTGGGATTTTTACACTGTCACTGCTAGCCAAGGTGGAAGCATGAACTGTAAATCCAGTGTCAGAATTAATATTTTGTGGTGACTTGCAAGGCTGCTCTGGGGGAGTTGCAGGCTTGGGGAAGGTCAGTTCCTGGAGGAACCTTGTGCTTTGTGTCCCATTGGCCATTGCTGAATTAGGGATGGCAGACTGGAGAGGTTTGACTGCAGAGGGTACAGGTTTAACTCCTTCCCTGGGGTGCAGAGGCTGCAGATCAGGCTGCACTTGTTGGACACAGCACGTGCAGATGTGTGCCAGAGGCACCATGCAGCTCTGGAGAGCAGTTCCAGGACTGCTGAGGGCTGGTTCTGGCTCCTCACTGAGGGTCTGCCCCTCAATCTGGGCACCTTCACCAAAGAGTGATGGGAGGGCTGACCTGGCAAGCTGAGCACAGCCTGCAGAGAACTTCCAGCCAGAAGCCCCTGTACGGATCGAGGGGTTTCCCTTGTGCTGCACACTGCAGCTGTTTGCTGGGGATGGGGTTAAATCCAGTGGCCTGGGCTCTCCAGGCAGTGCTGGCTGGCTCTTAGCACAGCAGAGCTGGCTGCAGGCAAGGAGTGCCTGGGGATGGGGCAGGAAGGGCTGCTGCACCCAGAGCACAGCTGGGTGTGCTGTGTGCTGAACTCAGGGACACTTTTGTACGCACAGTCACTGCCAGCTGTGCCTTGTTTGGGCCAAAGCAGCAATTTGGGAGCAGGATCCCTTCAGGATTAGCACAGTGTGCATGGGTTATCCCTGTCCCTCTGTCTAAGCCCTGGGGATAAGGACAGCACAACTGGTGGTGTCTGACTCTGAAGTGCATTTTAGTGACTTTTCATCTTGTTAAATCCGTGCAAGAATTCATTTTCTTTATATCCCCATACAGCTAAATTAAAGAAATCTTAGTCTCATTTCTTTGTTATTTGCTTCTTAGTAAGGCAGTGAAATTTTCCTTTTAAAGTAAAATACATGGAAATGGGCAGCAAGAGCAGCTCATGGCCAGGTGATTTGTTCACCTGTAGACAAAGTGCTGCCTGCCCTCATATGGCTTTGTATCTTCCCCAGAAAGAACCTAAATGGTACACAGCAAACCAGAAAGGAATGGGACAGTCTACCCATCAAAGCTGTTGTATTCAGGTTAATACAATTTTAAAAAATTTTATTTAAAAAAAGGATTCAAAACTACTTTTTGCATCCCCACTCCCCCGCCAGATTTTTTTTCTCATTTATGCAGCTCTTTTGGGGTGGAGGGTGATCAGTTCTTCAGAATTAAGTATGTACAGTTACATGCTTCAATAGGTACTTCAAAAAACAAAAGGGGAGGAGTGCAAAATCCCGTTGAAGTCATAGGCATAGGACGTGTATTTATTCTTTCTGGCTGCTTCCTTTTCCCCTTTTAGTTGCCTCCTAGGATTTGGTCTCGTTTTCCAAACCTGAGCAAGTTCAAACAGTCAAGTACAGGTCTCTGTAGCATTCAGCTGGGCTTCCTGTGTCAAGCTGTCCATTTTATAGCTCTTTGATTAATAAAGATGCTCTGGAAAAGAGGCTTTGAGAGTCCCACAGGAGTTTGGAATTCATTCCCAAATCTGAAAGAACTTCAGACACACCTCTGTACTTGGAAGTATTTCAGGAGGATCACTTTCCCAGTGCTTACTGTGAAGTGTCAGTGTAAAACCAAATCGAATGAAGAAATGACACAAAGCTGACATAGAAACATTCTCTTAAAGTAGCAGTAGGTAGAGTTCCAAAAAAAAAAAAAACCTAAAAGGCAGATTTTTATAAAATATTCCTATTGTTTAACAGAAGTTCAGGGGTTACTCAAATACCATGATTAACAAGACTAGCTGGGAGGAGGAACACTTTCCTCCTTTTCCCTTCTAGCTTTTCAACAGCATCCCAACACCTGCATGCAAGAAGTGCAAAATTTATTCCAAGGAACAAACACTGACAACACCTCAGTCATCTGCCCCAAAGCAATTGACAGGAGAGACATGGGTAAAGAACAGCAGAGGTTTTATTATGTTGGATCTTGTTCAGGGAATCTCACTGTGATCTCAGTGCCATTCAGTAAAGAGAACGCCCCACACCTTGAGGCACTTGCCACAGAGTTATGGAATATTCTTGAACAGATTACAGAAAATTTGGGTAAAACCAGGTCATAATTTAAAAATGTTCTGATTCCTAAGACTGTTACTGGGTATTTACTGCTTTGTACATGTCCTTTTCATTTTCTTTATAACCCCATATAGCTAAAGGAAAGAGAAATCTTAAAGTTTCATTTCTTTGCTATTTGCTTTTTAGTAAGGCAGTGAAATCTTCCTTTTAAAATAAAAGAACAGGGCATTTCTCAAGTGTGAAAAAGGGCAAGCTGCTTGTAGCCAGAGATGGGAACAATGTCATCACTTTGCACCAGAAGTGGCTTTTCTAGTCTGAAGGATGCAAAACCCCACTGTGACCTGTGCAATCCCCATTTTCTGATTACCATCACTCTTACCAGTCACAGGACCAGCCCATCAGTGATGTGATCAACAGCAGCTCTATTTCATTAAGCATCTCACTCCAAGATGCTTTCTGCATGGGCGTGACAAACTATTTGTCTTTCAAGGCCCATTGAGCATCTAAGAGCAAACACATGCACAGATCCACAAGAAGTGATTATTCTCTTTTTGATTGTCATTTTTGGCTGGAAGTAAATAGCAGCTTCTCAGGAAAAATGGGAAGAGTTCACATTCAGAATGATCAATACCATGTGCATTTTGACTGTACTTGAGAACACCTTACAAGTACTGCAAAGGTAGAGAATCTCAGAGTATGTTTCTGGTTTCTTCCTGTATCAATTGTGAGTTAGATGACTTTAATTTCTTCATAAAAAATGAAGAGCATGGTGTCTCTTAACTGGAGACAACAAAAATATCCTCCAAAAATATCCAGCCAGCTAGAGCTTACAATTAAAAAAAAATAGGATGCAGTGTGGGTGTTCAAGTACATACATTAACTATCAGAATGAAGGAGCATATTTTAAAAAAATAATTGTAACTGGCATTTAATTTAGAAGTATGTTCTTATTCAACAAAGCATTGTAAATGTGCTGAATTTAAGAGGCAGCTTTCTTCTCAGTCTTGTGGCTCCTAACATAATTTGGGGGGGAAAAAGCCAAATATGGTTCTAGATAGGAAAAAGCCTTGTTTCACAGAAAGCTGCTCCTGTTCTGAGGGCTTGAGCACGCTCTTGCTCCACCCATGTCTAGAAGGAATAAGTGGTGTACAGCTGCTCACCACTTCTTCCTGTGCCATTCCATGTGCTCCAGCAAGGTTGAAGTGATTTGTAGCTGAACACAAAAAGGACAACTTTAGCTGTGCTGTCTTAGCTGTTTGAAAGAGGCTAATTGACATCACACATAATTAATTTGTTGGCAGGCATATTGTTTTTTACACTGGAAAAAAGTCCTGCTGCTGTAAGTCTGCTTATCCTTAAGTGGAGCAGTTTTGATGGGAAGCATAAGGCACCTCATCTGTAATTTCCAGACACCAGACAGACCATCTGAATTTAAAACCCCACAAAGTGGGAAATACCTAAGCTGATAAACTGTAAGTTGCTCTTAATGTGCTTTTTTTAAGAGTTTGGGCCCTTCCTTCAGCTGGCTGGAGAAGAGCTGCTTTTTCAAGAGTCACACTATTGAACAGTTTAAACACTACTGATGTCTTCTTTCAGATTCCTCCAAAACATGACAGGATTTATACCACAGCAATTCCAGAAGAATATTTCAATATTTTTATACTGAGATATGATTATTGGGTTGAAGGTCTTACAGCACAAAACATTTACCTGTATGAAAACATGGGAGGCACAAAAACCAAAGAAGTTTGGATTTCTCAAGCTGCATAGGTGACTATATTTTGTACTAGAAATCTCCTTTTAGTTCTTACATCTCAACTCTTCAGCTCCTCAGTGTTATAGGGAGCAGACTGTTAACCCTAGAGAATGGGGGAATCTGGGTTTGAGGGTTTTCTTTAAATGGTATGTTCATAGTACAGAACAATGGCAGCAGCAGCAGCAGCATCTTTCAAAATAAAGACATGAATATGAATGATAAAACTAGCCCAGGGTAATTGATCCTTGCAAGAAGAGACCTCCTTGTCTATGCACAGAATGAAAGCAAATATAAGTGAAATATCCAGAAACCCCAAAATCAAATTAGGACTGTAATGTGTGCAAGGAAAAAGGATGATCAAAGTGGGAACTAAGGCTTAAGACCTAAGAACTCTGAAGTTTTTATTGATGTGACAACATCTCTGTTTGAAGAAAAATAAAGTTAATGAAATTTACATGATGATAAACTTCCAAGCTTCCACAGATTTTTCATAAACAAAAAAAAACATTCATGAATCAGTGAACCACAGCAAGAGTAAGGCCCTGCCAGTTTTGCAGACAGATTTATACTTGGAGGAGGAGGAAGGGAGGGCACTTTGATTCAAGTCATAGAGGCTAAGATAAACTCAGCTGCCAAATTCTGTGTTCTGCTCACTTTGTGAGCTTAGGCATTTACATTTGGATGGGCATTTAAATTGATTGTGGTAGCTTTACATTAAGCTACCATCAAAAGTTGGGCAATAAATGAAGACAGAAAATAGAAAATCAAAATAATGCTGATTTTGTTACAAAATCAAGGGCAGACTTAACAAATCCAAGAAGTATTTTCAATTGTCTGAAAACCTGAAGATGAAACAGTGCCCCAAATTCAAGGCATAATTTCGAGCTTTATAATGTTACCTGGAAAAATTATGTCCATCAGATGAGGTTAGGATGTATGTCTGCAATTCCCAGACTCTCAAGTTAGATCTGAGGCTAAACTGGAGCTTCATCCGTGGTGGAGGCAGCAACAGCTGAAGGAACAGGCTGTGGCTCTTCTGGTGGATTGTGAAGTTTTGTTTCTGAGACACTAAATTCCATCCCGGGGTCTTTCATCTCCACCACAGGTGCAAAACACCAGTAATGCTAATTCCAGCAATCCAGATCCTATTTCATATGCAGAAATTAACCCAAAGGCAAGTAATAGAAATGCATACATCATCCCATTCAATTATTCAGCAGTTTTGCAGACACACTGGAAAAAAACCTAGCTTTCAATATAAAAATTGTCTATGAAAGAGTCTAACTTGAATTTGTCTCCATGGATCATAATTCCACATGTGCTGCTGGATCTGTAGAAGAAGAGAGAAAAATGAGCACTCAGTTTGAGCTGCCTCAGTTGGCAGATTGGTTTGAGAATCAGTAAAGCCTCCCAAGCCTTTTCTTTACAAGGTACCAGTGCCTGAAGAACAATTCTCACCCACAGTGTGTAGCAGAACTTCTTTAATGGTTAAGATAAGGCCAAGCTCATAAAATTGCAGGAACAGTGAGGGTCTTTTACAGAACTGGAACAAATCTGTTCTCTGGCTTTCAGAATTAGGTTAAAATACACCAGACTTGCCCAGCAAGTTCCTTCCATCCCATGACACTCCCTGATGATTTAATTCAGCCCTCATTCAGCCCTTTGCATGGTACAAGCTCACAGTGAGGCAGGACACAGCACAAGACCAACGGGCACAGAGAAATTCACAGAAGTAGAGAAAGAAAAATTACCATGTGTGTGTTGTCCTGGCATCTCAGCTGGTGTTCCCATTTCTTTTTCCTTCTGGAAATTACTCTGGAGCAGTTTGATTTCTTGATCATAGTCCTGCCATTCTGGAACTATCCTCATGGCTGCCTGCAGCTTGGGCTCTTTGGTCATTGGGTTGTTACACTGCAAACAGAACAGACTGGCTACAAAAGGTTTCTGCACTCAACAGAGGTGTGCTCCCCTCTGCAGGGATCAATCTGCTGGTGGTGAACACCACCTGCCTGTACTTCAGCCAGAGAACAGTGCAAAGTCTCTTTCCAAATTCATAACAATGCCACTGCTCCGGGTAAGAGAAACACAGAAGCTATTGGCAAAAACTCAAGTGCTGAAAATGTGCTGAGGGAGGGAAGTGCCCCTAGAACTCATTGCTGTATTTTAATGTGCTGTAGGAATGAGGGAAACATCCTGCACTCACCAGATCAATGGTTTTTGCTCTCTTCTTCGAGGAATCATCACACCATGTTTCACACCACAGCCACTCCTGGGGGAGGGACTTAATTGGTACTTGATGGATCATGTTGTTTGGCAAATCCTGTTGTGCAGACTAAGAGTTAGTAGCTGTTTCCGCAGGGTGCAGGATGGGAGGAGCTACCCCCCTCCCAAACCAACAGTATTGTGAGGGCTAACTTTTGTAAGAGTTTTCTTTTTTCCCAATGCAAATATAAAGTGATGAATCAACACCTAATCCCATTCCAAACAAACACCTCTGGGAAAATCCCAAGTCCCAACCTGACAGCATAGCCCAGTAAAACAAAACAAACACAATAAAGCACACCTGATCAAGGTTGGACAGGCTGTTTGGATCCTGGCTCAGACCCTGATACTGTCCTCTGAGTCGATCTCCAGCTGCTATCTTCCTGAACTTCTTCAGATCCACAACGTACAGAGCGCTACGTGGAGACGGTGCAATTAGTAATGACTGTAATTAGTAATTTCACTGGGGGGTAATTCTGCAGCCCCACTAGACCCCTGAGACACAATACCCTACAGCAATCTCAGGGTGGCAGCACATCTATGATCAAGGTAGGAAAGCAGCTCTAACAAAGTCATGGCATGTACGAAAAAGAATTTTCAACAAATCTGTCTTAGCTTTGCTGTCATGCAGTCCCTGTTCCAACATTTCTTATTAACAAAGGAAGATGTCTATTAGTTACCACTTCAGTTCTTCATCTCTAAAAGATGCAGCATACTGAAAATAACTTCAGTGTCCCTAGTACTTCCATAGCCCACAGAACTTTAAAGAGGCAACAGGAAACAACAAGTGGTTTTCATGCAGGGCTGCATACCTCAGCTGGTTTTCTGCCAAGTCTAAGTAGCAACAAAAACTTTACCCCTCTACTTTGAAAATAAATAAAAAAAAGAAGAATTCCTCATACCTGATGTGGTATTTTCTTCCAGCTAAATGACTTGCCCAGTATCCTGATTTCCAGAACCTGTAGCCATCCATTTCCCTTCGGCTGTCACAGAATGGAGTGTATCCATAAGGAGCACCATCCAGATTAAAATCCCTCAATTCCTTTAGATCTGTGCGCACAATCTGAAGGGAAAGGAAGTTTTATTTTCATTTCTAGGAGCCTGCCCTTCTAGGGTTGTTTGCAAATGCTGTACAGGATTTAATTCAAACTGAGCAAACAGATAAAGGAAGAATCACCTGATATACATGGCAGTCTTTTGCATTATATATATGTAGTACAAAAACACAGCACAAAATGTGTTGTCTCCTCTGCCCTTAGAGCTGGAGCAAATAAAATAGAGCTTCAAATAACCTGAGGGGGCGTGGTTTGACAGCTGAAGTGCAAAACTGTTTGTTAATAAGCAGCAAGAATTCTCACTGTACATAAACTGTGATTCTTGGTATCCCTTCCTCTCCAGTTTGCAGACCCTTCGGGGATGAAAGCTTTTTAATGTCTTTTTGACACATATGTGGCACTAGCACTACTTTAAAAATACCATTCTAATGGGAAAAAATGCCTTAATATATCTCACAAGCAGAGAAACAAACTGTCTAAAATGACACCTGGGGAGCTGGAAATCTCTCCTACTGATCCTTCAGCTTCAGTTTGACCTGGCATGGCTTCACACTGTGCACGTGCCAAACCCCCCAGGCAGTTTACACTCACTTGTTGATCATCTGTACTTCTCATTTCATATGTACTTTTGGGAGTAGTTTGGCAGTTCTCATTGTGCACATTTCCTGCCCTTTCCACCCAGGAGTTGAGGAGTGGGCACACATGGCCCTGTGCACAAGGGATTTGCCTTCTCTTTCTCTGAAAGCCACTCAGATGTGGCCAAGTTAAAAGTAGAGGCCTGGGAGGACAGAGTGGTTGGTGACTTAGGAAAATACTGACTGGTAAGTAATCTGCAGGCTGGGAGAACAGACTGAGCTGCAAAAATGGAAGGGTGAATTGAGAATCTATTTGGCAAGCTAGCTGGAATCACAGTGAGTGAATGGGGAACCAGATAACAGTAAAGGACAGGCAAACAAAACCTGTAGAAGCAGGCACAAAACCCAGCCCTCAGTGAAGCATGCCATAATTACAGAATCAACCTACAGTCATGCCTGTGAAGGGCTCAAACTTGCAACCCTTCCAACAATATGGAAATTGTATTCTAGAACTTATTAATAAAAAAAAAAAAGGAAAAAAAGATCAAATAACTCCAGCCTCTGTGTTACCTGATCAGCATCCACAAAGAGGATTTTATCAACAGCTAATGGGAAGAGCACATCTAGAAAGAGGATCTTGTAACCCCAGATGATTCGCTGCTTCTCTGTCTGTTGGTGCAGCCAGCGTGGCCATTTATACTGGACAAGCTCATACTGGAAATTGTACTTCTTGGCCATGTATGGGATGAACTCCTGCAGAGGGAGGGGAAAAAAGCAGCTTATCTCAGTTCTTTGTTCCTCTGCAGGAAAAAGAAAAGCACATTACGAGAGACAGACTTCAGTTGAAAGCACAGAACATCAGGAAATGAAATACCACAAAGAAAATTAGTTTCATTTTTAGTTCACACAGAACACTGAACAATCAATACAAATTGTAGAGGCAACTAAATATTTCAGCATTTTTGTCCACACAGTTCCTTATGAGCCATTTCATAGTGATCCACAGATGAGAATGCATTACTCAAATCATAAAAATTCACAGATGGGACAATTATTTAGGGGTGTACAAAGCAGTGTAAGTAGGAGCACATAAAATGAGAGAAGAGCATTGGGCATTGAGCATTTTTTTACTAGAAAAACTTGGCCCACTGTCACATCAGCTGACATTCCCATCTGTGAGGCTTTCTGCAGCTTTGGGTGAATTCAGGTTTAGCCAAGTGATGCTGGTGCAGCCCTGGGAAAGGGAGGGGGAAGCAGCTTGTGGCACCTTTCCCCTACCACCAAATATATTTCTAATTAGTAACAAACCTTGAATGTAGGTGATAAGTAGTTCTTCAGAAACCAAAACTTTAAAGGAGTCTTGGTGTGTTTCAGCACAGACAACTTCATTATGCTATCAAAAAAAAAAAAAATAAAAAAAATAAAGCAGTTACAGGAACAAGTGGCACCCATGAAAGATGAACTGTGTAATAGATTATAAATTGCTCTGCTACATGATTAAATTATTTGCAGTTATGTGTCAGGTAATTGAACTTCATGCATAAAGAGAAAGTGGGTAGCTTCAGCCTATTGTAAATTGCTTAATTTTATCAGCAAAATTACTAAACCCCCAACATCTCTATATTTTAACTAGGCAGAAAATATGCAACCTGTTGGCTTTTACAGTTCTTTCAGAACAACAGAAGCTCAGATTCTTTCCAAAGGAACTGTGACTTATTCTGTAACTTCTTGACAATACATTGGTTATATTGTAGCAAAAAAAAATTTAGGACAGCAACACACCAGCTATTAAACTAGGTCTGTTTTTAATTCATGAATGTTATGCAGACAAAAGTTCCTAAGACACAGGAGATGCAGATTCTAGTGGACTTCTGAAGCATTGAAAAAGTGGGGTTTTTTATACTCTTGCAGATTGTAATCTTTTTCCTTGTGCAAGGCCACTACCATTTGGCACATTGGGATTATGAATTCTCAACTAACCGTAGGAATCTCTCATAGAGGTGTCCTGAAGCCACAGAGAATATATTTAGTACATCATCTTTATCCTGTTTCACATCTTCATTCTTTTGTCCTCCTGTGAATCCCCTGAAAGAAAAAACATGGTTCTGTGAAGGACAAGCTGGGAAGGGCCAGCTCTATAGGAAAGGCTGCAAATACAGAAAATGGCTCCATTTTTGCTTTCATACAGTTGGCCTGTGGGCTTTGGGTGTCATTCCCTGCTGCCCAGGGCATCTTCCCCTAGGCAGAGGGCTGTGCACATGGACAGGGAAGGTCCATGAGCTCAGACATGAACACCTTTGATTGAGAGAGCACAGGCTGAGGTGCAGCTCCTGGGAAGGAGCAATGCTTTCAGGATCCCAAGTAGCAGGGGGGCAAGGGAAGGTAAAAGCAGGTGCAAAGCAGGAGCCCAGATCTCTAGAAACAGAGGAGTCCAGTGAATGACAGCCCTGAGTTCAAGCAGTCTTAATAGACAGCTGTGGAATTTCACAGACACCATGGTATTGCCAAATAGTTTTCCAGTTTCGAGAAACTTGTAGGTTATCATTGAATTAGTTTTACCATTTCAGAGATTCCCAAAATCCAGATTCATTCTCACTGGTGCCATCACTTAGCAGATCTTCATTCATCATATCAAACTTTTTCTGTACCTGTGAAGGAAGACATGGCTTTAGTGAGTTGGAACCACATATTGAGTAGATATTGTCAGCAGTGTTGTCCTGACACTGGTTCTGTTTTTACCTACTTGAATTACACCCCATGAGCTGACAGGTAACCTAAGCTGTCTGGGAAGACAGCTCAGTAATGAGTAACTTTTTCCAAACAGATTCCAAAGGAGCTTTTAGACACCAAAGGCATGTTAGTCTGGATGGTTAAAATGCTTTTCTAAGAGATGTTTAGTGAGCAACCTTGATGATGGAGACTGGCAAAGAAAAACCTTCAAAGAAACCAACACCCCCCACCCCTCAAAAAACTCAGCACACCAATTCCACCAGTTTCTAAGTGGTATAATTGGCCACTGAAACTCCAAAGCAGATACACAGACAAGAGAGTGAATGGGGAGAACATCCCAAAAGCATCCAGCACAGGTAAATGGTGTCAGGTGTGAACTGGCTCTGTTATATATCACTTATCTACCAGTCATTCTCCTTAAACTTCTCAGCTATGGCATTACCTGACAGGCAACCCTAAGAGACAGCAGACTAGTAATCTACCATTTTTTTCTTTTTTTCAAATGTATTCTCATCTAGCCTGTGTCAGAGTGATACAAAATGTATTGGTAAATTAATACAATTTATCTGTGACAGATAAAATGCTGGTTCAGTGGACATACTGAATGTTTATTACTAGACACATATAGGGCATACAAAACTGCTTTTTCCTGAAGTTATAAGGAGTCAGGAAAATGTGAGTATTATTGTAGTTCAGGAACAGGACTTGGATGTCATTCTCTCCTGTATGAAAATCCCAAATCAAGGCTACAGATGATGCTCCCTACCCCTGATACTGTGAGGTGAGCCTTGTGCAGACTGCCTCACGTGTATGCTCACAGGAAGGGAGCTTCAGGCCTTAATCCAAGTTTCTCCCCACTGTTGGTCAAACAGACTTCTTTAAGGGCACCTCTGGTTTATAAACTCACCTTCACTTTAATAATTTTGCTCTTGAAGTTATTGAGAACAACAATAACTTCATTAGCTTCAGGCGGAGAGTCTGTGCCATCGTGGCTGAAAACAGAGCAAGATACAAAGCAAAAATATGTTCTTTATTTCTTCTGGCCATTTTTATACATGTATTAAGCCTCAGCACTGCAAAACAGGTTTGAGACGTGGCAAAGAAACAAATACATTTATTTGAACACACTTAATGGGGTTTTAAATTAATTAATTTTGCCTTGCATAACTTATGTTCAGTATGAAATATAATTTGCTGTTTAGGTCACCACACTTTGGCAAGGGAACCACTAGATTCACATATTACAATGCCTGCCTCCTTCAGAAGTTTTACAAGAAAAAGGCTGAAGTATTTCTTATCCTGACCTACCTGTAGATCCTGTAAATATCTTCAGATCTGCCTTTTCTCAATCTTAGAGTCCATGCACCAGGATTGGCTTTTAACTGGAAGTAGCCCTGTAAAGTGAAAAGAATATTTGGCAGTTTCCAGAAAATGCAAATGCAGAAAAATTAGCTTTAAAGTTATGCATTTTGACTCACTGTTTTATATCTAGAATGCTATTTGCAAGTCCATTGATTAAGGGCTTTATACCCAGAGAACAGGAGAAAATCCCCAGAAATTATCCCATTCAAAATTGTTGCATTTCCCCTCAGAGGTAGAAGCTTGAAAAAGTCTGGTGTTATTTGTTAGATCAAAGTCTTCATTGTCCTGATGGGAACAGTGCAAACCCAAAGTCTTTTCCTGCAAAAGGTGGCCTTCATGAAGGAGTGAGGGTATTTCAAAACACTAATGTATAATGGTACAAGAAAATCTAAAAGAATTCTGAAGCTCTACAGAGTGGTAATTCACCTACAGCAGAAGCAGTAACATAATTGACACGTTACAAGATATCTCTCCTACAGAACTTAAAAATTCAAATATTGTGTTCAAGTCTTTTTAAGCTTCAGATTCCAGATCTGAATATTTTCCTCAGTGATTTAGATTATTACACCTATAGAAGATACATGCAACTGCAGAGATGCTTTAGTGTCCCACTCAGTTTTGTACTGCGGTTTCAAATGCTTGCAGTTCCTATGTGAGCCAGGCTGCTTTAAAAAGAAAATTTAAAAATATTTTTGAAAATTTCAGTATAACTAATTAGAAAAAGAACAATTCTGAGTTTTACTCCCCAACATGAACACACCATGTGATCACATGTAAAATAAGGGACATCTTTCTTTCTACAGTAAGAAATACTACATCACTGTAGGATATAATCTGGCTAAGAAAAGGCACAAACTGAAAATGAGTAAGAATTCTAAAATAAACATTTAGCACCAGGAAACAAGGAATTATTTTTTCCTTGTTTTTATTTTAATTCATTTAAATAAATGTAATAACTAAAAAAAACTTAAAGATTAAAAAAAAAACCAACACGAGGTAATTTACTTCAGTTTTCCACTAACATTACAGATCAAGAAAACATTCCAGTGACAAACTTCCTTTACCATAATTTCAGTCTATTACCTATCTTCAGGCCCAGTGTGGACACTGAGAACAGACACATCCCTTATGCAGTGACATTACAAAAGCAGCTGCAGGGAACAATCATACACTTGGGTTTCCAGCAGCTTTCCTCAACTCAAATAAGCAAATCCCATTCTTTCACACTTCCTTTATTTTCTACAATGCCAACTATTCTTGCTCACTCTCTCCATTTATGCCATGGATCTCCTGAAGAAATGGGTTCCAAAAACGAGACAGCCTGAGGCTCACAGCACCAGAGTGGGTGGCCTAAGGAGGACCCTGTCCCAGGAAAACAACTGAGCTCCCCTGGAGAGGGGCTGCTTCAGAATACTGGCAGCATTTAAAGATATTCCAGAATATCCCAGAAGGAAAAGGAATGCATCTTGAAAGAGGTGAGAGAGAGTGTGAGGTTTCAGACATCAGTGTGAGGAATGATGGGGTTCTGGTGCATTTGCAAGCTGTGGAGTGCAAGTGACACCCCAAACCCAGAGCCCCCTGCTAGGAAATACTCGGGGGGGAAGGAAGGGGCTGTGCTAGAACACTTACCAGGTTGGCCATGACGATGGTGTCCACGATGACAGGGCTGCTGGAGGTGCCCAGGGTAAACTGGAGTCCCCGAGGTGGCTGCCCTGTTGTAATGTCATAGCAGTGGCCCTCCAGCAGCAGGTACTCCAGTTCATACTCTGCAGCTACAACACTCTCCACCTGAAACAGCAGACACTGCTGACTGCAGCACGAGCTCTAAAGTGCCAGCTTTTAGTCAGTCAGTTACTCTCTAGAATAGCTATAGTAATTTAAACAAAACAATTTTACCAGAGTAATTGTATTGTTAGACAAATACCTAGAAAACCTCAAAAAGCTCAGCTCCTGCAAGTGACAAACCTCACATAAATATGAGTGGCCCAGACCAAAAGAATCTGAATCTCAACATATGCTAGGATAAGAAAAGGGAAGGATTGTTGCTCTATTCCTCAATTTATTTTTTTAACATTTACTGGAGAACGGAGTTGGTATCTCACAAAAAGTATATGATGGGATTCAGAATTTTGACTCTAAATCTGTTTAAAGCTGGTCTCACCTAGTATCAGCCACCTGAAATAAACATTTTGTTTTGCTCTGCATCACTCTTACAGTGCACTAGGGTACTGTCAGGAAACACCCATTCCTTTTTTTCTACACTGAACAAAGGTGCCAAGGAAAGAGAAGAGAAAAAAAAAAAAACAACAAAAAAAACCACAACCCCAAAAGACTTGGGTCCCTACCAGGCCAAATTCAGAGGTAGCCTGAGGACAGTACATAAGCAGAATGTTAGTCTAATCCCAAAAAGCATCTCCTCTCACTGCACATCCAAAATGACAGTTTAATTGCTACAGCACCAACAGACTGCACAGTGGGAACTGGAAATGGTGCATCTGCAAAAGTAAAGCTGCTGTTTATTTGGAAGCTCAGGAATGCACTTGGAATGCCTGCAGCATTTAATCCCCCTCTCTCTCAGGCTTTCAATTAATCAGTGGGGCAGACATGGAAATTGAAATGTAGTATTAATGCTCCATTTATGCCTTTACAGTTAGGTTAAGAGATGAAAAACAAGAAACTCCTACACCAAAACATACTAAACCAAAACCATAAAACACACACCAAATTTCCTAGATTTCTGAATAACTAGTACAGGATTAGCAATACTAGATATACCACAATACCATATCATATTCCCAAACAGTATCAGAGAGATGCAGAAGTAAGAGGGAACTGATAATACAGTGATCAGTGAGAGGGGGACCCACATTTGTGATGGCCACAAGGCTGCAAGGACTGTCACTTTTCCAGAGGCCTCTTTGTAAAAGCTTTGCCAGTCTTGTACATAGATGTGTAATACCTTTACAACAAGGTAAATAAATAGAGGTTTTTCCCTATTTCTCCCTCTGTATGTGGGGCAGCACTGCCCAGATCCACAGTCCAACAGCCTGAGTCAAGGTCTGCTCAAGCAGCAGCAAGCTCCTGAACCTACAGCAGCTGAGTGCATTTCTGCTGCATGGTTTTACTGCTGCATGGACACTGCACGTCCTTCTGTGGACCACAGGAGTGTTTGCCAGTTAACAAGAACTGTGACAATAAATAGGTAGCTGAAACCAGCTTGGTGGCTTCTAGGAGCATGGGAAAGGACCTGCTCCAAGCCTATGGTGTCTGAACCTCTGGGTCAGGCATCCATGAGTAATTGAGAACAGCAATCTGGCTGTTGGGGAACTTATGCCTCCCCTCCTAGCAATCATTTAGAGGTCTGTAAATGCAGTCATATCAACAGCTCTATGTCTATTGGCATTCTAAAATTCTGCATTTCTTTCCCATATAAACACAAGCCCTGGAAAAGCAGCACCATTTAAATGCAGTAGGAACATGATGATTTCTCTTACCTCCTCCAAGAAGATATTGTCAAGGTCATAGGGGGTTCTAACAGACTCCACCATCCAACTCTCAGGAGTGTTTAAATTCAGAGTGAACAGTGGAGACTGGGGCATATCTAAAAACTTGGCAATTGGTCCGGGAGCAAAGTTATTCTCTGCAGTGAAAGAAATCTCTGGTTCCAAAACATAGCGGTAAAAGCTGAAATTTCAGAGAGAAAATGTTAGAACACCCATCTGCCAAAATTTGCTAATATTTCGCTCTCACTGCATTTGCAGATGACATCAGCTTTCCCTGACCTCTAATGACTCCAAGCCCTTGTCCAAAGCAATGCAGGTTATGTAACCTTAGGACACAGCAGAATTTCTGTCTCGAAGGACCAAAACAGACTGTGCAAGACTCAACCATTAAGACTAGTAAGGTATTTAATTTTATATAAATACAAAAAAACCAAAACTAAAAGCACCCAACTTGTAAAAGAGCAGAATTACTTCATGCCATCCACAAATTCCCAGATTCTCTGTGGGAAATGATGCCATTATTGAGATTTCCTATGGGACAGCTGACCATGCTTCTGTGCTTGCACATTCCAACAGGTTTCTCTCTCTCTCTGCCCACCCTGTGTCATGGAACTGCTTACCTTTTCAGTGGCATGTCAGAAAGCTTAGACTGGCAGTTCATAAACACTCTCAGGTTCATATTTATCAATTGGTTCAAAACCTAAAGTAATAAGAAAGAGACATCCCTTAAAATGCTAATGAGGAGAGCTGACCACTGTTTTACAGACAGGACCTCAGGGTGGATGTTATCTGCTCATTCCCAATCCTCCCTCCTTGTGCTTTGCTTTACCACCCCTCCCCCCTTTTTAATTGGTGGTTTTAAGCACAGTTACCTGCTCCTCATATTTCAGACATTCTTTTTGACATGCTGAGACCTTCCTCAAGAACAGTTACTGCAAGCTGTTAAATAGTGAAATGAAAAGCTCTCTGGACAATACCCAAGTATGATCTCGTTAGTGTGTAATGCAGCTTAATCAGTATTTCCACTGATAAATGCACTGTGAATCTCAGACACAGTATTAGAGAGCCACTGGTCACCACACAGTCAAAGAGGAAGCAAACATTCCAAAATGATGGAATTTGAAGTTCTCACAACCCTGCCTACGTACCAAAAGTAATGGAGCAAGTCTTTGAGCATCTCTGGTCACAGGATCAACAATAGCCACAACATCAAAGTATGTCTCCCCTTCTTTTGGTCTCAGTTTAACTGCACTAAACAGAAGAAAATACAATTTTAAAGTACCAAAGATGTGGATAAACACTTGAAATGCATTACAACCCACTGCTATCCATCTCATCCTGAACTGAAATAACTTCCTAAATACTGTGCACCTTCAGAAATTAAACAGAGAAAAAAGCAGGCATATACATGTATAAACACGTATAAAATTAATTTCTGGAATCTTTCTGAAAACTGTTGGGGATTTTCCTACTGCTACTTAGATTTTTTTTTTTTAATTAAATGCAACATAGAACAATGGGGAAGTTAAAAGACACAGAAAAGCCTTGTTCAGCAATTCTATACCTGTATCGCTCTTCAAAAAACTGATATTCAATCCTTGCCTCTCCTTTTGGCTGAGCAGAAAGAAGAGCATCCACTTTCATTACCAAGTCACTTGCCCTGAAAAGAAGGAAAAGAAAAAGGCTTGCAGATATCAAAAAAAAAAAAAAAAAAAAAGGCTGTAATCATCACATTTCTGTCAGGCAGCAGCAAAAGAGAAGGCAAACAGAACCCAGATACCCAAACACTCCTACTACCTCTCTACATAGGCTCTGAAGAATTAAACATATTTAAGGGCTAATCCACCAGTAATTTAAACTGGTTGCAGCCTTATTACTGAGTATGCCAAAGGATTTAACTCTAACAAATATAGAACAGCTGTATTTTAGGGGTCAACCATGTTACAGGAACTGCATTCCTGATCCTCACCAACCACTCAGACCTGAAAGCCATTCAGATCAAACCCTTGTTTCACTGCTCTTCCCATTTTACACAGCAGCTCTGAGCACTAGGAAGCAATCCTCTAAGTGGAGAAACTTTTAAGAGTGGTCCTATCATAAAAGATAATTACTTTTGAGCACTTCTTTTTCAGTATTTCCATAATTTTCAGTCTAGTATTCTAAGAACATAGTCAATCTTCGAGGTGTAAAACCTCTTGAAAGTTCAATTAAAATAGATTTGTACATCACACCTTTGCCAAGAAGCAAAACTAACCTACAGGTTTGTCAGCTTTTCTTGAATTAACTGAGATTTCTAGTGACAGCTGTTTACTTACAGATCTTCTTCAAATCCCAGCTGCTGAATCTGAGATTTGATTTTCTGTCCCGATGTCTTTAGTATTATATTTTCAAGGAGATGAAAATCATCCTGATTGAACATCTCTCCATCCTCTAATGGGCCAATAATCTATCAAAAAATAGCAGAATCAGCATTATTAGGTTAAGACTACACTGAAACAAAATTCAAAGATGTATTAAATAAATACTCCAGCCCAGTCTCAGCGGAAGCCAACTGTTTAGGCTGCTATTAATGTCAGTGGCAGCAGAGTTTAACAGGTAAATCCAGGTATTTAGAGCCAAGAGCCCCAGGCTAAGGCATAAACTACACACTTAAAATTTTCACTGGGTCAGGCACTTAAAATTATACATGAAGTACCACATCTGGAAGGGGCAGCAGAATACCAGGCCAATTCTAATAGTCCAGCAAGGCTCCAGCAAATCTCCCTCCTGTAGCCTTCAGAAGCCTAAAAGCTACCTAGACAAGTCTTGTTATTCTGCTAATGAGAAAAATAGAACAGAACAACTCAACACCTGAGATTTTTAACCCATTGAAATATCCAGCAAACACTGGGACCTGAATGGGTTTGTTCCTAAGCAGAAACAGATAACAAAAGAAAACCCAGTGCTGTACACAGCTGTGTTTCATTATTTGCAGTGAAATACTATTGTAACATCACTTACCTCATTTCAGATAAACTATAATAAAAACAGATGGTAGAAGAGACCAAGGCACCTTGGTCAGGGCAAAATGCAGAAGCATTTTGTTCAGTAAACTGAAGCAAATCTTACAAATTTATCATCCCCTTCTACCCCTGGACTCAATTGACTACCAGCATGAAAGGAACTTTGTTATTGAGAGACCTGAATTTGTATCAAATGCCAGCAACTAACTGCACACAGTAAAAAGAACAGGTCACACAGGTGTGAATAAATCAAACTGGAAGTGGTCCTAAAGACTGCTGAAATATAAAACAGGCTGGCACTGCTGTGTCTGATCCCCACCCAGACTCTGCTGCTCAGATCTGCTTCTTTCTCACATGTGGGAAGTCTCTTTCCCTGTCTGTTGATCATCTCACCCGTCCATTGCTGATCACAGCCCTCTGCCCTTTCTTCAGCTTTAGAACATCTCTGCAGTAAATAGCATGGGACAGAATAAAATCCACCTTGGGAGATTCAAAGGCTTCTTTGAAAATTTTGGTATCCATACCCTAAAAGAAAAGAATACTTTACATTGGAATAGGAAGAAAACTAGAACTCTGCACACTTTTTAAATGCAACCTTTTTGTTTCCATTCAAGAACATCATCTTATCTTGCTAAAACTGATCCCTGGCCCCCTTTTCTTTGTGGTCCTAAACCTAGTTCTTGCTTGTCACCATCAAACACCATCCCAAATTCTGCTGTGAAGAGCCACAGCTACTTAGACCAGTTCCAATCTTCCTGCCTAACTTTTTTAAAATCTGCTTTGAGAAATGCACTTGTATTTTTTTCCCCATCTTTTAAAAGAACATTATTCTCTTAACTACCTAAGAAACAGCTGACTCACTTAAATGGATCCCTGCACCCATGTTCCTTTTGCCTTTTCCAAGTTACATAGCTCTGATGGATATGAGGATTTACTTGATGTTCAGATGGATTGTTCTATTTAGGTAAACCCTTCAGAGATTTAAAAAAAAAAACAAAAAACAAACTAGCAAACCCAACTGTGTTTCTTTTCTCTATTACTGCACCTTCAGCATATGAACATACTACACTAAAAAATTAATTTGAGGAACAAGCAAAGCACCCTCCCCATGAAAACACCCACAGACATGCCTACCCCAACAGCAAATTCCAAGATGTCAGCTCCTGCCTCCAGTGCCTTCACAGTTTCTTCTTTTGCCATCTTGGTGATGAAGTTCTTGGCATTATTTGAGGTTTGTGTCTGCAAAGCTGCCCATATGGCTTTAGCTACAATGGTATTCTTGCTGTTGGGTTCTTCACTAGGATTATTAATCATGCTGATTCGAACGTTATTGCTGGATTTCTGTGTTTAACAAAACAGGTAATGGGAAAGTTTCACATTTCAGATATAATAAATATATAATAAACACTATAGCAAAAGCTTTGCATTTCTTAACCAGAATACCAGATTCCAAATTGGGTAAATAACAGCACAAGGTTAAAATGATGAATTAACTAATTTAACATCAAGCATTTAGCTTATGTATAGGTACCACTGTGACAGCAATCTTCCAGATAACCCTGTGCTACCTAAGAAATCCAGAACCATGACCACCACTCAGTCTGGCAAACCACAGCTGTAAGCTGTGCTTTTTTATGTTTGTTATCCTCCCAGAACCAATGGGACAGAGCAGAGAGCAATGCTTATGTTTCTCTCCAAACCAAAACACAGATATTTCAGTTTAACACCACAGGTTTAAAAGAATGTTTATTGTATTCTGTCCTAGCTTAAGATCAGCCCTGCAAAAGAGATGAGGCTGGAAATTAGAGACTCTGCAGGGAGAACCAGGGTCATACCACAGGAAGATGCACAACTTGTGTTTTACAAGCCTCTACCAAGGGCTTTGTTAGCACTGCTAACCCACTGCAAAGAACACGTTACCCACCTGATGTTTAATGGCATCATACAACAATTGCCTCCCTGAAGGTTTATCAAAATCACCAACAATCCAAAAAGTAACTGGTCTAACAAAGGAATCATCTGCAATTATTAAAAAAAAAAAAAAAAAAAAAAAAAAAAAAAAAAAAAAATTTTAGGGGAAAGAGAGAAAAGGTTTT